CTCAGCACCAACTCCCGCAGCAGCACCAGCTCCAGTCGAACCCGCAGGCCCAGCAGCTCCAGTACTCCCAGCACGAGCACCTCCGGGACCCTCAGCACCAGCACCCTCAGCAGTCGAAGAACCTCCAGCTCCAGCAGCACGCCTCCAGCGCCGTGCAAACCACTCGCGCAGCTCCGGGGGAGAGAGTGGCTCCCGGCGAGACAAAGCCCCCGGAGGACCTCCAGGCATAGCACCTCCAGGCTCAGCATTCTCAGTCGCAGCACCCCTAGGCTCAGCACCCCCAGGCTCAGTACCCCCAGCCACAGCACCCGCAGGCTCAGCAACCCCAGGCTCAGCACCCCCAGGCTCAGCACCCCCAGGCTCAGTACCCCCAGTCGCAGCACCCCCAGGCTCAGCACCCCCAGTCGCAGCACGCCCAGGCTCAGCACCCTCAGCAGCACCAGAGTCACCAGTAACCTCGACAGGCTCGATTGCGTCTACCTGGGACACACCCGAAGGGGCAGGACCATGAGGGGGGAGGGGGTCTACCGGGGGGGGACCTGGGACAAGGAAGAGCGGGGGCGGGGGTAGGGACGGAGTGCGGTAGGGGAAGAGGCGGTAGTAGGGGACCGACTCGAAAAACGTGACGTCCTGGGAGGACAGAACACGGCGAGAGGTGGAGTGGTAGAACTGCCACCCAGGCGCGTCAGGGGGGAATCCCAGGAAGACGCAAGGAGCAGCACGAGGGGACTGCTCGTCCGCAGACAAGTCGCGGACAAACGCCCGAGATCCCTAGACCCGGAACGCTGACGCATCGCCAACCTTCCCCGTCCACAGCAAGGCTGGGGAGGTCTCCGGCCTGGAGACCCTGGGGTGGAGGTTGATCTGATGCGCCGCATACCTGACCGCAAACGGCCACAGAAAATGGGGGGCAGCCGCATGCATCATGGACGTACGAGCGACGTCCATGACCATGCCAATGCGGCGCTCAGCGATCCCATTTTGCTGCGGAGAGTCCGGAAGCGTGAAGGTCTGACGGATGCCTCGTGCGCGACAGTAGGCTCTCAGAAGGCCAGAGGAAAACTCTTCGCCTCTGTCAGAGTGCAGACGCAGAACAGGAAAGTGCGAGCCAAAGCTCTGCCTGAGCTGGAGACGAGCTGCGCGAATCCAGTCGATCAGCACCTCAGTGACATCACCCTTACTGCGCAAGGGGAAGACCGTGGTGTAGCGCGAGTAGTCGTCAACAACAAGCAGGAAGTAGCGCTCGTGACCCTGTCCACGGACACGGGCCGGGCCCCACACGTCCATGTGAAGCGACTCCAGTGGGGCCTCTATCGGAGGAAACTGGGAGGAGTGAGGGGCAGCCCTCTGGCGCCCCTCGACACAGGGGACACAGGAAGGGCCAGGCCCCTGAGGAAGGGGAGGGAGGGACCTGGGGAGACCAGAAACAAGAAGACGAGAGGCCATGCCTCTGAGCCGAAGCAGAGAGGGGTGACTAAGGCGGTGGTGCCAGAGGAGAGTCTCGTGAGAGAGGAGACGACACGAACATGGGGCAGACTCAGGACCAGACCTGGACGCTGCAGCAAACACCTGCCCTGACGCAGACACCCTGCCAGACGCAATAACTGGAGGAGACGCAGTGGTCAGTGTGTACAGGCTCGACCCTGGCTGACGTGTAAACGTAGCCAGGTGTCGGCGTGTGCGAGCCTCTGTGCAGTGCGTCACTCGCTGACGCGCAGGAGTGAACTGGTGCACTCCCCCATCCTGTAGATCAGCACCACTCACCAAGTTCGTAGAGAACGAGGGGAGGTAGAGACCAGACAGGGTGCCAGAGGGAGCCGCCGGACACGGGAGGACTGTGGAGAAGTGAGACAGGATAGGACCCCTAGAGGGGTCAGCCAGAGACACCGCAACCGGCCGACTAAGCGGCGTAAGTGTGGTGCGGTCCCGAAAGAAGGAGCGAGAAGCCCCAGAGTCAAGGGTGAAGGTGAGGGAGGCCGAAGCCGACGTAGTACCTGAGAGCGCAGACTCACCAATACCTGAAGACGCTGACGCACTAGCAGCTAGAGCAGCAGCGTCGCAAGCACCTAGGGCAGCAGCCGCACCAGTACCTAGAGCAGCAGTCTCAATGCCCGGATCGGGCGGGAAACACCGGTAACAGTCACCCTCATCACTAATAGTCACAGAATACATGGCAGACAAGATTGCATCAAAATCAAGATCATTTATGGCTATTCCCGCCCTAGACAGCTCGCCCCAGTGAGGGATATCTGTGGCCTCAGGGAACTGGTGACGCCACGCGTCCGTCAGGCGGCCAAAGCAGCGCTGGGTGGGGTGCACACCCCCACACTGCTCACCCGCACGGTCGCCGGTGCGCAGGACGTAGGTGCACGGACCAAAACTCCCACCCCGCTGGCGTGCAGTGTACCACTCACGGAGCTGCTGAGGGGATAGGGTCTCACGACCACGCTGCTGCTGCTGCTGGCACGGACCACCACCGGAGCCACTCCTCTGCGTAGACCCGCGACCAGCTCCTCCGCCTCCTCCGCCGCCTCTGCCGCCTCCGCCGCCTCCGCCACCACCGCCGCCTCCACCACCGCCGCCGCCTCCGCTACCGCCGCCGCCTCCACTCCCTCCGCCACCGCCGCCGCCTCCAACCCCACTGGCGCCACCGGTACCCCCACCTCCTCCACCACTCCCTCCACCACCCCCACTCCCTCCGCCGCCCCCACCGCCACCTCCACCGCCCCCGCCAGCTCCTCCAGCGCCCTTGCCCCCCTTGCCTCTGCCTGCGCGGCGCTTCCCCGAAGGGGCAGATGCAGCGCCGACCGATTCGAAACCAACGAGGTCGGCAGCAGCAGCAGAAGCGACAGAGGGCAAGAGGGGGGAGGGAGAACACCCCTCAAAGACAGGGGTGCGGGGGTCACCACGAGAAGCTCCTACAGCGACTATGCTCGCAATGTCTCTGACGGTGCAACCGTCTACCTGCACCTACTTGGCAGGTGCACACGTGCGCAGATATTCACCTGCGAATGCAGCGCTGGCAAGCCGGTCTGAGCACTCTTGTACTGACTAAATTGCGCACGCTCGGAGGTAGGGAGGTGGCGACGCACAACAAGACGTGCAGCAGCGTCGCGCGTGGCCCACTGGGAACGAACAGTGGCGTCAGCATCAGCAGCAGGGGCAGGGGACGCGCCAGAGGTGAGGTCAAAGAGAGAGAGACCGTTTGCCCTATCGCACTGTAAGAACAGCTGTAGGTCATCTACCCAGACCTCGAAGTCAATGGCCCTACCGTCAGCGTCAAAAGCTAGGACACTGGGGGTAGCCATGACGACAGTAGACTAGCAGTGCAAGCAGTAGGGTGAGGGCAGTGTAGTGAAAGAGGGACTGTGCTCACCAGACTGGGCAGCTCAGGGAGGTCGGAAGTAGGGCGGCTCGGCGGTTGAGCTGCGGAGCGGCTCGGCTGCTGGGCGGCTCGGCTGCAGGGCGGCTCGGCTGCTGGGCGGCTCGGCTGCTGGGCGGCTCAGCTGGAGGGCGGCTCGGCTGCTGGGCAGCTCGGCTGCTGGGCGGCCTTGCTGCTGGGCGGCGCGGCGGCTCGGCGGTGCCGCTGCAGGCCGAGAGGCGGCGAAGCCGCTGTAGGGTAGGGCGGTGACGGGCCGTGCTAGGGCGGCGGCGGGTCGCAGTAGAAAGGGCGGCGACGGCCCGCTGTAGGGCGGCAGTAGGCCGCTTTAGGGCGGCGGCGGGCCGCTGCGGAGGGGGCGGCGGTGAGGCCGCTTGAGGGCAGCTGTGGAACGCTGCTGAAAGTGCGGCGGCGGGCCGGTTTAGGGCGGCCATAGGCCGCTGTAGAGCGGGCGGCGGTGGGCCGCAGCAGGGCGGCAGCGAGCCGCTTTAGGGCGGCGGCCGGCCGCTGCAGAACGGGCGGCGACGGGCCGCTTAGGGCGGCGGCGGGCCACTGCGGAAAGGGCGGCGGTGGGCCGCGTAGGGCGGCGGCGAGCCGCTGCGGAAAGGGCGCCGGCGGGCCACTGTGGGCGGCGACGGGCCGCTGCAGAGCGGGCGGCGGCGGGCCTCCTTGAGGGCGGCGGCGGGCCGCTGCAGGAAGGGCGGCGGCGGGCCTCCCTTAGGGCGGCGGCGGGCCGCTGCAGGAAGGGCGGCGGCGGGCCGGTTTTAGGGCAGCGACGGGCCGCTGCAGAGCGGGCGGCGGCGGGCCGCTTTAGGGCAGCAACGGACCGCTGCAGAGCGGGCGGCGGCGGGCCGCTAAGAGAAGGGCGGCGGCGGGCCGCAAAGGGCGGCGGCGGGCCGCGCAGAAAAGGCGACGGGCCGCTAGGGGCTGCCGCTAGGGCAGGCGCGCTTCGGGTAGGGGGGGCAGGATGCGCCCCGGGCAGAAAAAAAAATTGTTGGTGGGCCCTAGGAACAGTTCCCACGAGGGAACCTGCTCGATACCATGAGGAAATGCAAACGAGAATGAATGAACTATGAATGAAGTGAGTACATATAGGAAACCCTAATTGGGTTGTACCCCCTATGGGATACCCCACTATAGCCTACATAACAGCATAAGCTATAATGTTCTGACAAAGACATCCTTCCTCGTCCCCCCCCCCCGAGGGGTATTACACTCTAAAAAGCGGGGTGAGCTAGGAAAGTAGCTCTGATACCTGGTGTTATGAATCAACTTGCAGAGTGCGCAGTAAAACGAATATCGAGAATGATTGAGTACTGAATTACTGAATCAAGAAACAATGAAGTAGCAAGGCCTAAATAGGGGAAAACCTAGCTAGGCGGGGGGTTCGCGATGGGATGGCTCGGTGATGGTTGCGATTGGAGCGGAGGCCGACTCGGGAGTGGCTCGGTGCGACGAAATAGGAAGGTCAGGTTCGTCGCGTGACCCTCGGGATGGCCTCGCTAACGAGTGCCTCAGTAAGGATTTGTAAATCCTTACAGAGCCCGCAACCTGAATTACAAAAAAAGTTGCGAGGTGGTTACCAGTTCACCTGAAAACGTGATGAAGTCGCAGGCAGCGAATGGAAGTGTCGCTCGGTTCCTGCGCAACCACTCTGGCGTTGGTGTGCACACCAAACTGGAAACCTGTACGGTAACTCAGGTCGATAGAAACCGCCTAGTCCGATTAGCACCAACGGCAGCCATATCTTAGAACAGCTAGGCTCCAACCTCATTCCAGCCCCAGGCCTCTTAGACCCGCCTTACTCATTAGGACTAATACTCCATTCCGTATGTGCCAAAGATATATCTTTCCCCGATTTGAGCCTTCCCGCGCGGAACTCGCCCAAGTTGCACCTCCCCAATGCCCACCGCGTTTCTAAGGTTTACCCACCTACTTCGGCGCATTCGCTTCTTCTCCCCGTAGTCCACACTCGGTCCCCTTCCGTCCCACACACGCACTCCCCTCCATCGCTCACGCTGCCTCGCGAGACAGAGCACGCTCCCTCCCCTCCTGTCTCCTTCGCGCAATCCCCATTGTCGCGCACGCTCTGTTCCGTCGCGGATTACAAATTCCTTCCCATCGCCCACGCGGGAGCGCCGAGACCGATCATGCACACTCCGTTCCGTCGCACACGCGCACTACGTTCCCGCCGCAAACGTGCACTCCCTTCCGTCACCCACGCGCACTCCGTCAGTTACCTCGGCCCACGCCCACTCCCTTCCGTTGGCCACGCTCAAGACCTTCCCGTTGCCCACGCTCACTCCCCTTCCTTTGCCTTCGCGCAATCCTTACATCGCACAATCTCACCCCCGCTCGTCCCACACGGCCGATTCCCTCTCGCCGCACGCTGCCGCCCACGCCGGGCGCTCTCTTTCAATATCCTCCCGCCGTCCACGCGCACTCCATCCCGGCGCTGCACGACGACTCCCCTTCCGCCGTCCACGCTCACTCCCTCCCGCCGCGACGGTCCCCTCCGTCGCACATGCTCACTCCCCTCTGTCGCCCACGCCCACTCCCTCTCGTCGCGTTCACTCCCCGTCGCGCACGCTCTTTCCCCATCCGTCGCCCACGCTCACTGCCCGTACGTCGCACACTCTCACTCCCTTCCGCCGCCCACGCTCACCTCCCTCCCGTCACCTTCGCTCATTTCCCCTCCATATCCCATGCTCACTCCCCTTCCGCCGCCCACGCTCGCTCCATCCAAGTCGCGTTCAGCCCCATCCGTCACCCACCCTCACTCCAGTGCCGTCACACACGCACGCACCCTCCCCTCGACCGAGAAGGCATTCTCCGCTTCCATCGCATACGCGTTCATCTCCCCATCCCTCATCTCCCCATCCCTCACATCCCCATCCCTCATCTTCCCGCCCCTCATCTCCCCATCCCTCATCTCCCCATCCCTCATCTCCCCGTCCCTCATCTCACGTCCCTCCTCTACCCGTCCCTCACCTCCCCATCCCTTCCCTCCCCATCCCCGCCTCCCCATCGCCTTCCCTCCCCATCCCTCACCTCCCCGTCCCTCACCTCCCCATCACCTCACCTCCCCGTCCCTCATCTTACCATCCCTCTTCTCCCCATCCCTCATCTCCCCATTCCCTCATCTCCCCGTCCCTCATCTCCCCGTCCCTCATCTCCCCATCCTCATCTCCCCATCCTTCACCTCCCCATCCCTCTCCTCCCCAACCCAGACCTCCCCATCCCTCTTCTCCCCATCCCTCATCTCCCCATTCCCTCATCTCCCCGTCCCTCATCTCCCCGTCCCTCATCTCCCCATCCTCATCTCCCCATCCTTCACCTCCCCATCCCTCTCCTCCCCAACCCAGACCTCCCCATCCCGCATCTCCCCATCCCTCATCTCCCCATCCCTCATCTCCCCATTCCGCCTCACCCCATTCCGCCTCACCCCATTCCAAGGTTCCCCATTCCGCCCCATTGGCGCTGGGGAAGGGAGTGTGAGGCGATGGGGAAGGGAGTGTGAGGCGATGGGGAAGGGAGTGTGAGGCGCTGGGGATGGGTTCTTACCTGGAAATGGGATGAGTGGGTACGTGGGGGCGCTGAAGCACGGAATCTGTGGGCGCTGGAGCACGGAATCTGTGGGCGCTGGAGCACCATCGCGAAAAAGTTTGTGCACACAAAAGTGTGCACGGTAGCTTTTCTTGCGGAAAAGCTGCGGAAAAACAACTTGGAGCTGCGGAAAAGCGCTGAGAGTCAATGTTGCTAGAATGTCACTTCCATGCTGCAACTGGAAAGCTACGACAATGTCACTTGCGCCCCTTGGTGCCTTCGTACATTCGCACCCAATTCGTCATCCAAGTGGTAAACAGCGGTACAGTACGGTTTCAAGATGGTTGTGGGCATCGACCAGATTGTACAGACCACGAAATGTTACCAGTCCTTACGAAGTTTCGAAAACCAAGAACTTCAACAACTAATCAAGAAGAAGCGACAGTGTTTCATACAAACGAAATTAGCATATTTCGCATAGCGTCACCAAACACCAATTGCCAAATTGTTCACATCAAACCCAACTCTCATTGAGTTCTAACCAATTGAGAGGGCGTTCAAATATGTTCCACCAATCACATAGCATTCCTAATCTCCACGTCCACTCCCCACAGCTTCTCGAATGTTCCCTCAACCATTTCTTCTCCAACCATTTCTTCTATGCCTGTTCTTCTCTTCACCTGTTATTTTCCTTCACTCTTGAGACACTTGTTTATTCTCGCCCTTTTCTCCTTTCTCCAGATCTATCCCTCCTTGTTTTCACTAATGAAATGTCGCCCTACTATGTTCATGGTGTTTTGCTATGTGTTCGGGCTAGTATCATAAATTAATTGCTTACTATTCCCTTGTTTTGTGCCATTTGACTGCTGGTTGCAGTTACGATTCATGTGTTACCGTCTACTAGAGACACCTAGTCGTCTTGAACCGAGCAGCCGGTGACCGACGACACAATCACTCTCCTTTTTCGGTAGGTGGCTATGTTGTTGCTTCTTTTTTTGTTGTCTTCTCTTCTCTTTTCAGCGATGTCTTTTCATACTGTTATTATGAATATGATGCTCCAACACCAAGATGTGCTTACCCTTCTGTGCACAGGGTTAAGTGCAAAGGTGAGTATGGAGTGCGTGTTGTCTTGATCGGTTTAAGTTGTCTTGTGTGCAGATATGTTATTTTCTGAAGTGGTGCGGCGCGCTCCTCACTGTGCGACCTTTTTGTCCTATTCTCGTATTCTGTATACATGGCTGATTCTCTAATGGCATAAGGTCGCAGTCTACCGCGGCTACAAGGTAGGTAGCCGATCTTCTAAGCTGTTGCCATGCGTACGTTTTTGTTGTTAGGCAATGTTGCAGCACTCACTACACATGTGTACTATCATTCACTTAACTCTTAACTTCCTACTCCATCAGCAGATACTTCTGTTGGAAGGAGGAAAATCACCATACCATTGGTTAGACTTGGGTCCTGGTGTCACTATTTCAGGAGTACAGATCTAAGTGGATTTAAAGGCAGATTTGCTAGCTTTTGGTGATATATTTGTTCATTTGTAATTTCTAGCAGAAAAGTAATGATTGTATTAGGTACAGTATGTAACCACTTTATTTTTCATGAAATTACTCGCTCTGTAAATAATTGGCAACGTCCATTACGGTATTCGAAAATTTGATTGTGTCGGCCAATAGGCTTCGCGTGGCGCACTTGTAACGGGAGGTTTCGATTGGCTCACATTGCATATTTTTATCCACTAATTTGCCTTTAAAGCTGGCAAAAAGCATAAATACACGTGGCAGTCACGCGTCCACGTGGCATTTGTGACTCTGAAGTGACATTGATGTCTCTTCTCATGTCACTTTCCAGTTGGGTTCCGTGTGACATTGATGTCGCTTGTTTGTCACTTTCCGCAACTCTGAAAGTCACCCCTGCACATGAGCTTTTGACCTGTACTTTTTTTCACCGAACGGAAAGTTGCGGAACTTCAACTTTGAAGTTACTTCCCCGCAACGTTTTGTGAAGAAATGAGGAAGGAATGATAACTAAGAAATGAGTTGGGTACAAATATGAAACCCTAGAAAGCTGTACCCCATACTATCTACCCCACTACAGCCTAGAAAGACTATAGCATATAATTTCGACACACCCCCATAGGCAAAGTGGGGGAGAACAAGGGGTCACAAGACTAGTCAAGCAAAGCACAGCAAGCTCAGGGTGGATCCCAACGTCACCACACATTCTGAGCACAAGTTCAAGGGCCACAAGGCCAGTTCACATGCAAGCATGTTATAAAGCTAAACATGCAAGTGCAAGTATATATAGGTCACAGTACAAGCAAGGTCAAGAAGTGAGCAAGTGAGGCAAAGTAGGTACAAGACCTAACAAAATACAAAAGCGCTGATGATCACACGGCGCGAGTGCCTTGGTGAAGATATCAACACGGTTGGCGTGAGAGGCCACGTAAGCAAGTCGTAGTTGACCACGCTGCTGCAGCTCACGAGCAAGAAAGTAGCGAAGAGCAATGTGCTTCGTCCTGTGCTCTAGTCTGTGCTCCCGACACAAGGCCAGCATGGCCTTGTTGTCTACGTACAGAACTGGAGGAGAACGAGGAGGCTCTCCGAGGTCAGTCAGCAGGTAGGTGAGCCAGCGTAACTCTTGTGCAGCCATGGCCCCCGCGTAGATCTCAGCCTCACAGCTGGAGCTGAGAACAGAAGAAGAGCGGGTAGACCGCCACGAAACAGAACCGGAACCAAGGCTGAAGGTGTAACCCTGTGACGACCGCTGCGTAGCCAAGTCGTCAACCCAAGACGCGTCTGCGTAACCAATGAGGACTACTGGACTCCGCCCTCCAAGCACTAGCCCCATGCCCGACGTATTGCACAAGTAGCGCAACACCCTCTTCGCTGCAAGGAGGTGTCTCCTAGGAGCAACATAGCATGCCAGAATGCTAAGAGGGTATGCAATGTCAGGTCGTGTGCAGGTCATCAGGTACATGAGGGAGCCGACAAGCTCTGGGTACGGGCCACTCAGCTCTACGGACTCATCCGAAGGCGGAGCTGAGAGGGAGTGGCGAGTAGACAGAGGAGTGGCCTGAGGCGAGGAGTACGTGAAGCCGAAGCGCTGAAGGACCTGCTGCACCATGTGTGACTGAGTCAGGGTAATGGTGCCCTGTGCTCTGTCCCGAGTGATATGCAAGCCAAGGTAGCTGCGCAGTTCACCCAGGTCAGTGCACGTGTGTCTCTTCTGCAGCTCGGAATTCACGTGGGCGAGTCCAGCAGTGTCAGCTGTGGCAAAGACCAAGTCGTCGACGTACACGAGGATGTAGAATGGCGGCAAAGAGGTGTCGGTGCGTAGAAACAGCGACGGGCCGGCTGTAGAAGGAGCAAACCCAAAAGCCGCAAGTGTAGTCCTCAGTGTGTTGTGCCACTCACGAGGTGCCTAGCGGAGACCGTAGACTGGCCGCCGGAGGCTCCACTGGGTGCCAGGAGGAAAAGACCTAGTGAAGCCAGGTTGGCGGCGCAACCAGATCTCCTCGTGCAGGCTGCCCTGTAGGAAAGCAGTGCTGAAGTCAAGAGAGTGAAGCTCGTAGTCACGGTGAGCGGCTATGTGCAGCAGTACCCGAAGAGTGGTCATCTTCGGGGTGGGAGAGAAGGTTTGTAAGTAGTCAACTCCCTGCCGCTGACTGAAGCCTCGAGCCACGTAACGCGCCTTGAAGACAGGCGGAGAACCCGGCGGACGCTTCACCCCGAAAATCCACATGCCACTGACGATGTTCGCCCCAGGTGGGGGAACCTCGTCAACGTAAGTGCCTGTGGACTTCCAGGAAGCCATCTCTGCATCCATGGCTGCCTACCACTGAGAGGAGTAGGGACCCTCTATTGCCTCCGCGTAAGAGCGCGGAGTCGGGATGTCTGATGCATCCGGGTCTCCCTCAGGGGCAAGCCGCATGGACACGAGATGAGGTGAAGTAGCAGCAAAGCACTGGAACTCCTCCTGCCTGTCCTAAAGGACGTCCGTGCCAAGGGCACACTCACCCCCGACGGACGGAGGACAGACAGACTCAGACTCAGCGATAAGACTAGCAGCTTATTCTAGACGACAACGAGCAGCGAAGTCGACAAGCTCAGCAACTAAGGCAGACGCAGCAATGGACTCAAAGGAAGGGTTAGTGACGACAGTAGCAAGGAGATGCGTGACAGTAGGACTGGCAGCACGAAGGGAGTCTGACTTCGGGTCAGCAAGAGCAGGAAGGGAGGACTCAAGAGGAGAAGGCAAAGGGGCACGCAGTGGAGCAGTAGAAGGACGCAGAGACATATGGTGCATACCGGGGACAGGAGGAGGACGCTGACGCGAACCACGACGACTAGTGCTAGCAGCACGAACAGGCGACGCAGGACGAGACGCAGGCTCACGACGCTCAGCAAGACCTCCGGTAGGACCAATGTAGGGAGAAGGAGCAGGCAGTGGAGAGTCTGGCTGTAACTGTGACTCGGACTGGACAGCCGACGGACTCTCTAAGGGAGGAGCAGGACCAAGAGAGGACGGAAGACCAAGAACCTGCTCAAGTACGGCCGCGGCTGCGCAGCGCCACCAGAAGTAGCAGGAATAGCACCAGCAACCCCAACAGCAGCACCAGCACCAGGAGTAGCCCCAGCTCCAGCAGCGCCAACTTCAGTACCTCCAGCACCCTCAGAAGCACCAGCACCAGCAGCACCTCCAGCGCCAACAGCCCCAGCACCTCCAGCTCCAGCCGGACCACCAGAAGACCCAGTAGCTCCAGCACCAGCAGCACCAACTCCAGCAGTATGAGCATCCGCAGGCCCAGCAGCTCCAGGACCCTCAGGACGAGCACCTTCGGGACCCGCGGCACCAGCACCCTCAGCAGCAGTAGAACCTCCAGCACCAGCAGCAGCAGTAGAACCTCCAGCACCAGCAGCACCTCCAGCTCCAGCAGCACGGCTCCAGCGCCGAGCAAACTTCTTGCGTAGCTCCTGTGGAGAGAGGAGCTCCC